AGAGCAGGAAGATTGTGTTGTTCCATCCTGAAGCATCGGGGTCAGCCAGAGACACAACTCCTTGGTGGGGGGCAGCTTGTAAACAGCAAAGACGCGCTAGAAGTGCAATTAGTCTGCGTGACAACTGTGACCACCTTCTGTCACCACCCTAGGCCCAGCCAAATATCCCTTCCTCCCTCTCTTGCACAAAGCTGAGCTGAGGGATAGGGCTTACACACATGACCAACTGCCTGTCAGCCTCAGGGAAAAACAGAAACACAGCCACAGCAACGGACAGGCCTGTATATGGGTAGGCCTGTATATGGACAGGCCCAGACTATTGGTTGGCAGAGCTTGGCTGTGAGAGCTGTGAGCAGGGAAATCTAGGATTCAGAGAACAGTTATGGGAGTTAGTAGTAGTCAGTTGTCATCTTGTGGTCAACACTGACACTGACAGCCCATCAGAGCACAAGGAGACTTAATGTTATACTATGGGCAGTGAGGTACAGCGCAACCCAAGGTACGGGATGAGGGAAATATGGAACCTGTTCCTTTGATCTCTCTGCCTAAGCCATTTTTCTCTTGTTCACATATCTCCACTCAAGGATATAAGATTCAGTAATAAAAAATTTAATTAAAGATTTATGGCTGGCACTCCATGAACCATCTCATATTTTCCAGTCAGGGAAGGGAAGAGCTCTAGAAACTCTAGAAGAAAGCAACTGGGCTGCAGTTGTGGCCAGACTGCCCACGTCAGTAAGGATGAAAGGTAACAAATCCTTACTGTCTCTATCCTCCAGTTATTGTCTCTTTCCACTCCTGTGCTCAGAAGGATGCTTGTTCAGAGCAGAGTCTTATTTTTTGTTTTGTTTGTTTGATTAATTGTGCTTATCAAAGCTCTGGCCCATTTTGCCTTTGAGGTGAATGTCAAAAGTCAAGAAAAAGCAATGAAGGAGGAGGCAGCAATGGCAGTATATAGTCTCAGATCTGCCTTGTTACATTCCGTAGCTTGCTATGCTTTCCTGCACCCATTTTTGGGTTGCTCAGTTCTTCGACACTCTTAACACCTGATATCACAGGAGTGTAAAGCAGGAGCCTTGTTCAGAAGACAGCACTACAAGGGAAGTCTGAGGAATACAGAGGATTAGTCCTTCTCTAACTTTCCTAATAAACCTAAGGCACAATCCTCAGAATGATTCAAGCGGGAAGAGATGGAAGTAACTGAGTGCCAGGCTTGAAACTGCAGATGGTAGAAGGAAGATTATATGCTGCAAGCTTCTAGAAATGAGCACAGAAGCTTAACTATAGAGATCCTGAAAGCTGGACCTGCTTTCTGCTTATTGTTACAGGGTGAGCCAGTCTAACAGTGTGACTTTCCTCTGTCTATCTACAGAAGGGTGAGATGGCACTGACCACAACATCCAACCGTACAGACCACATGTTCTCTAGAGCCATGGGATGCATGCACTAGGGCATCAGGAGCTGTGTTCACACTTCTTGTTCTGCAGTTGCTGCATTCAAAATTCACAGAGTGCAATGAGCTCTGTAATTGACCAATTTACCTCTTCATTCCATCTCAGAGAGGAGTGAAGTACCTTTCCCTTCCCTTTGCAGTCACCTGATGCCTCTTTGGAGACGACACCAGATCCACCCCGTACCTTGTGCCTACATTAACTGAAGTCTTGCCCTTTTACTGCACCAGGCACTCAGCCAGCCTACTTGCAGAAAGCAGCAGAGCGTGCAAAGGGCCAGCGTGTTTGCACGCAGCTCCGTTCCATTCGGCCTCTCCCAGCAGCTGCTGTGGGGGTGATGGGGACAAGTAGATCTTCTTTCAGACCCCCTGTGGATAGGCTTCAACAGGTCCCCTTATTCATTGATTTAAGAAATCCAGCTGCAATTATGGGTGAGCCACTGATAAAAGAGCTGGGCACTTGGATCCAGGCACGTCTTTGGCCACAGTGCTGGCTGCTGCTCTTGCTTCATTGTAACACTGTCTGAACCAACATCAAGAGCTTGGTGCAGTCACAGTGCTGATTTCATCACTAAGTTGTATAGCGCACAACTTTCTGGCAGCAGAAACACCTTCCACCAAAATTTCAGGACTGGACTGTAACAGTGCCTTCTTACAGCTTCAAGCAATGGTCCCACTAGGGTTCATTGCTAAATTGTCTCCTGTTTCTACTTTGCATGTAAATGGTACCATCTCCAGAATTTCCTTCTACAGTTATCAAACCCTGATTGTAGGCTCCTAATTCCTGCGCTCCTGTTTAGGCCAGCAGGAATCTTGCTAGCTATCTCTGCTGGAGATTTGACCACCTTGCGTGTCTGCACTCCATTCAGCCCTGCAAGGGATCCATCAGTGTTTTTGGCAGAATACCACAATGAGAACTCACACAATCTTATGTTTCCTCTAGGTATTGCAAAGATTTTTGTGTGCTTTTCAGGAATCCTTGTATAAGTACGATTTTTATTCCTATGTGCTCCTACCTGAAGACAGTTCTTCTATCTGCAAGATAATGCATTTTGTTTGAATACACCCATCTCACCAAGTTATACAGAACTCTTTGAGTGACCTGTTTATCAGTCTATTCAGTTTTGTGTTATCTGTGGGTTTTTATTTGAAGTGGTTTTGTATATAACTTCAAATCACTGGTTCAAGTATTGATAGTTTTCATTCTACTACTGCTCCCTGCAGAAACCAAACAAAATAATCAAAGACCATTCCCAATTATTTCTTCTCTAAATTGCAAGTTCTCAATTCTCTTAATATACTTCAATGACTTTGCATAGTGTATTGTTTTAACCAATACAATGTACTATAATTTTATTTGTATCAATAAGTCATGCCTTACAAAATTTTGCACCATAAGGCTATGGATTTACTTTATCAATCACAACTTTATCAAACACGATTTTCAGGTAGAACACTGAGGGTTGCAGTCCACAAAATGATGTTTCTGATCTTTAGTTCTCTTTCAATAAGCACCTCTATTAGATTCTGCATTATTTTTTCACTGGATAGGCATTAGCTACCTGGCCTGTAAATCCCTTGGTCTTAGAAAGGATGGGATGCTAGGTAACACAATTTTAAAAGTTATATAATCACTGAAAATGAAAACTGAGCTGAAGACATTTCCAACAGCATTGTGATTTGAGCTGGAAAGGATTACCAAGAGCAGTTGCCTGAGGAAAATGGTAGGAAATTAAGAAGAGCGTCTAATTCCTAATTCTCTCCTTGTTAACTGTTTTCAAGATTAAAATGTATACCTGCAGAGATCAGGATTAGGAGATGGTTGTTGATGGGGATGGGGTGTGGTTGGAGAGATTATAAGAAATGGGAGAAGGAAGGTCTTCTAGAGGGAAAGGCAGGAATCAAAAAATAGGCAATGTTGTCTTAGGACCTGTAAGCTGAACAAGGGAGGTATTCTTGGGCTGCCACTGGAAGTTCTTTCTTGGGTCTGAAGGACTCAGGTCAGGAGGAAGGATGAAGTGGTAGCAGATGCTCGTACAGAAGGGGCCTGGCTTTGTGAGGAGAGAGTGGTCCAAGTGAAGGAGGGTTAGGCTTGAGAGCAAGACAACAGTGTAAAACTGTTGGGAGGTATCTTCATAATTGTTTTAATGGACAAATTAATGTGCCCTGCCTGTGACTATAGCTCCTCTGTTATCCTTTCCCAGCAAAACCCAGACAAACCATCCTCACAGCACTACTGTTTTCTCAGCTGAATCACAAATCAAGATGTTCATGGCAGTGAGCTTCCCTTTCAAATTGTGCTTTGTCCACTCATGGAGAGAGAGGGCTGAATTGTGCTTCATCAAGGATGACAGTGTTTGCTAAAGGATCTTTTCCTGAATAAAAGGAACTAGATGAGGAGACTCATGAACTAAAACTGTAACTTCAGCTGTTAATAACCCACTGTCATCTGCTCCTCAACGGAAGGAAATGGGAAGAAATATATAAAGACATCACCTGTGGTTCCTTGTATCTCCTTCCTGTTCACAAGGGAGACCTTTCAGAGGGAAAATCCTACAGAGCAACCTATGTGTTTGGTATTAAGAAACTTTACAAGAAGAAAATAAAGTAGAAAAGAGAATTCCAACCAGTAGCAATCACCGTAGAATTAACAGGACAAATGTCTTCAGAGACAGTGAGAGGAGTAGACAGCAAAGAAACAGATATAAAATGTATGTCTAACTCTGTTGATGGGAAAATCTCTGAAAAGTTAATGCAAGAATACATGATAGAGGCAAGGCACAGATCTGTACTGCTACAGTTCTCACTCACATCTAGCTCCTACCCACCCTTCTCCTCTGCTCATTTCCTTGCAGCATCTTGTGAACATTCTTCTATGTCTACTTCTTACTAACAGTCCTTCCTCCAACACCCCGCCACACTGGCTCCCACCATCTTCTCAGCATCATCATCAGTCCTCAGATAACATCTGTAGTGATATGCTGAGGGCTCCCACCACCTCCACCTCACATACCTGAAGCCATCCCTCAAGGGCCCTGGTGGAGTCATATGGCCCCTGCTTCTGGCAGTTTGTCCTTAGAAGGCCACTGGCATTGTCATACCTATGCTCTCCCACAGCAAACAGATCCCCTGCAGACATTTTATTACAAGAGAAGAAGAGCCACACGTGGAAACAAAGAAGTAGATATCTGCTCTATTTAAAAGGTAATGCAGGTGCTGCATCCCCGGAAACCACCTCGGAGTGTCCAGTGGCAGGATACAAATTGATGCTTCACACATGAAGCATCATGTGTGAACATTTCTCATCTGTGTGAGAAAGGAGATATTTTCAAGTCCCAAGGAAGGAGGTGGCAATGGGCAACGATGAGCTTAGAGTGAGGACCATCTTAGGGAAGGAGCTTGGTTCCATGATGGTAGGGATAGTGCTGTGGAGAAGTTGATCTCTGGGTTACCATGGCATCTCACAGCCACACTGCTGGAGGCCCACTATGATGCCCTCAGCCCCACATCTCATTGCAAGGTGACTTCCCTCCCCTGTGGGGAGCAGGCTCTAGGGCTTCACAGCAGCGTCCCCACTGTGCCCCTCATCTTGACGCCAAGGGCAATTGACATAGCGCAGAGCCCCACCAACAGGACAACGCTTGGCAGGATCCAGTGCCAGCAGGCTCCGCAACATGAGAGCGGCCTCAGCTGTCAGGCGCTTCCAGTGGCGAGGCAAGTTCTCTTCCAGGCCTGTTTCCTGCCACAGCATGAAATCCTCAAAGAAAGGGTCTTTGGGCAGGCTTTGCTCCCAAGGGAAATAGCCAGTCAGCAAGCAGAACAGCAGCACACCGAAGGCCCATGCATCCATGCTGGCATCTATGGGCACCCCTTGGGCATCAGTGGTATTGCTTAGTTCAGGGGCGGTGTAGGGGATTACTCCAGCCACCAGTTTGAGCTTGGTACCCTTGGGCCGTGTAAGCCCAAAATCAGTCAGTTTGATGCGCCGGCATTCAGGGTCAAAAAGCAGCACATTCTCAGGCTTGACATCACGATACACAAGCCCCCGGCTGTGGATGAACTCCAGAGCACTCACAAGCTGCTTGGCACAATGCTTGGCAGCTGGTTCAGGGATCCCATCCTGCAGAGGGAGAAAGACAAACAATGTTGCACTTGCTCAGCACCTAGTCAGTCCTATCGAGGTGGGGGGCTTTCATTTTTGCTCTTCATTAGGGAATGTCTTTGAGTTTCCGTTCTTGCAAGCTCAAATCTTGTTCAAAGCTGTAGATCTCAGAAGTGGAAGACCCACATCCCATTGACTTTCTCCCTCTGCCCCAGCCAGTCTGCGGAGGCCAAACACTGCCATCCCAATTCCCATGCCTTTGTCTCAGCACTCACCCTGGGTTTGATGATTGATATGAGGTCTTTGTGCATTGCTGGTTCATAGAGGAAACCATAATATTGACTGGATTCGATTGCAATTCCAAACATGCCAATGATAGCAGGGTGGGTGGCAAGGGAGAGTGCCACACAGTACTCATACAGGAAGGTGTGCAGCTTGGTACTGGCTTTGGGCAGCAGCTTGAGAGCCATAGGAGTTCCTGGGGATGGGAAGAATGAGTTAGATCTCCCTTGAAAGTCATTCACACCAAAACCAGACAGAGAGAGCACTGAGCAGAAATGGGCCTAGAAACTCATTAGGGGCCACATGAGTCTCTGGCCAGAAGTTTTGTATGGAGGTATGTCATACTGGGATAAGAAAACAGATACTGCTGCTCATGTGAGTTTTGAGCTATTCAGTTCATGCCATAGGAACACTGGGTAGGGGAAGAGAAATTCAGGCTGCATGAGTTCATCAGTTCAACCTGGAGATGAGTACTCTCAATGCTCTGAGGGCATTCATAGGCCTTAATGGCCTTGGCCAGTTCCACCTTAGACCTTCAGCCACACCATGGTGATCCATGGGCCCAGAAGAACAACTTAAGCCCAGTGCTTCACTCCCTGCCTATGCTGTGTTGTTGGGGCGCTGGTTTCTAGCTGTATGATATCCATGCCTATGCATGGCCCTGAGACCTGATGGTCCGGATCGGTTGACTGGCTTCCCAGCTTGACCTTGGGCCTATCTCATCATCACAGTCCTGCCTGTTGCTCTGGGCTGTTCCCCCCTCATTACCTACCCACTGGCTGTGTGCAATGGGAAGGTGCCTGTCTGGAAGGCCCCTGCCCTGTTGGTTCCCTTGGGAATCTCCTGACACTCCTGGCACCAAACACCCAAGACCCCATCAGCCCATGCATGTGGGCAAGTGGAGAGGAGACCGAGCACAACAGCTCACAGGGTGCAGCCAGTTCCTTACCTCTCTGCCTGTGGGTCACTAGCATCACATGGCCGTACTTGCCCCTGCCCAGCTCCCGAATAACCTCATAGTGCTCAGCCACTTCAGTGCGCACCAGGCTCTGAGCCGTGATCTCCAGGAGCTCCTCTAGCATGGTTGGTGCTGCTGCTGGTGCCACTGCCACAGATGAGTTCTCAGCCATTGCTGAGCTCTGCAGAAACACCAAAGCCTGAGTCAGAAACAGAACAACATGCACAGAGCAAAAATGGATCAGATACGCCACAAACTGTACCATGGCAAGGGATATTTCTGCTACATGGATTCTGAGTACTCTCTTGGCTGCGCTAGGGTTGAGTTGGTGGTTTTTTAGAGTGCATTTCTAGGCAAAGGCTGTCACCATATGGAAGGCCCATGTACTGAAGGAACTTCTAATCCTTTCTGGCCTCCAGCCAAATGCTCATCTCTCTCTAATTGTAGGCCTGAGGCCTCTCATTTCAAATGGTGAGGGGTCTGGAGCACAAACCTTATGAGGAGCAGCTGAGGGAGCTGGGATTGTTTAGTCTGGAGAAGAGGAGGCTCAGGGGAGACCTCATTGCACTGTACAACCTCCTGAAGGGAGGCTGTGGTGAAGACAGATCTGGCCTCTTCTCCCAGGCAACGAGCAGGACACGGGGCAATGGCCGCAAGTTGTATCAGAGGAGGTTTAGGTTGGACATAAGGAAGAACTTCTTCTCTCAGAGAGTAGTCAGGCACTGGAATGGCTGCCCAGGGAGGTGGTGGAGTCACCGTCCCTGGCAGTGTTCAAGACACGTCTGGATGACGTGCTGCGTGATATGGTTTAGTACTAGTGGTGGCAATGGTGATGAGGAGACGGTTGGACTGGATGATCTTATAGGTCATTTCCAACCTTGTGATTCTTGTGATTCTTGTGATTCTTGTGAAATACTTGAACTGTCTTGCCATATCTGTACTGGATACTGGCTTTCCAGGCCTCTTTTTATTCTACGCTCTGATGTTCATCAGTAAGTAAAACATCAACAGCGTTCCAGATTGTGAAGCAAGACCCAACTCTCCTGCCTTCGTCAGCCTACTGCAGACACCTCATCCGTGTCCTTCTACACAGAGCCCCAGCCCTTGTGCTTACTGAAGAAAAAGTTTAAGGCAGCAGCACAAATGGACTTGCCTTAGACAGAGGCACAGCTAGCCCACGACAAAAAGGCAATGAGCAGATGTGGTATGCACTGAGTAGGCAAAGGGATATCAGTAACTCATGTGTCTTCTGACATTTCTGATCCAAACTCATCTGTGCAGCCAAGAAACTTAAGCAGGAAGGAAACTTGGAAAATCAGTGCCATTTTGTGCCAGAACCAAATGATTCAGACTCATTTCAGATAAATATTTTTTGTTGTTGCTGTTTTTTGTTTGTTTGTTTGTTTTCTGTGCCCCTAGCATACTACAAGGGAACTTTTTAAAGTATCAACATTCTCCCACAGTCTATATTTTATTCTGAAAATAGAGACTCTGCCATCCTGGTCCTGGGAAACTCTCCAAGTTTCAGTTTCAGGACAAGGTCACAGAACCACAGAAACACAGGATGTCTGAGGTCAGAAGGGACCTCTGGAGATCATTGAGTGCAAACTTCTGCTCAGAGCAAGGTCAATAAGAGCAGGTTCATCAGGGCTGCGATCAAGTGGGTTTTGAATATCTCCAAAGATGGAGATACCCTAACTGCTCTGGGCAGCTTGTTCCAGTGTTTAATCACTTTTATGGTTAAAAAGTTTCTCCTTATGCTTATATAGGAATTCTGAGTTTGTCTGTTTGCTTCTTGTCCTGTCACACAGTACCTGATAACTGATAACACTCTAGACGTATCTTTTTTATACCCTTCCATCAGGTAAGAAGATCCCTTCAAAGATAAATCATTCCAGCTCCCTGAGTGTCTCTTTGTATGAGAGATGCTCCAGTTCCTTAATAATCTTTACAGCCCTTTGACAGACTTTCTCCATTACATCCATGTCCCTTTTTTGCTGGGGAGCCCAGAACCGGACCTAACCTGCTGATGTGGCCTCACCAGTGCTGCACAGAGGGGAATCATAGAATCATAGAATTGCTCAGGTTGGAAAAGACCTTAAAGATCATCAACCACAACCTAACCATACAACTCTAACAACCCTTTGCTAAATCATGTCCCTGAGTACCACATCCAAACAGTTTTTAAACACATCCAGGGATAGTGACTCAACCACCTCCCTGGGGAGCCCACTCCAGTGTTTGACAACCCTTTCAGTAAAGAAGTTTTTCCTGATATCCAACTTAACCTCCCCTGGGAAGGATCACCCCTCTGGAGCTGCTGGTTACTGCCTACTGCAGTCCAGAGTGCAACACAAAGCCTGAAGGTTGGACCTTTACTGTGAGTGAGGCAGAGATGCAGTGTAAAACCATAAACTCAAAATCTCTTTCCGTGTAACATTCTGACCTTAAGGAAGGGAGTAGGATCTCAAGTTGTTATAAAGGCTGATGGCATCCTAGGAATATGAGTGGGAGTAAAAATGAAAGAAAGAATGCAGCATTTTCTCTTAAGTTTTACATTGCTCTACCTGCAACCAGAGCTTATTGCAGTTCCTTCAATTTCTAGCCCCCAGTGTTGCGAAATCTGTAGAGTCCAGTAATGTAAAAACAGAATTACTTAAGAGAAAAGGCTAGATTTCTACAAGAGCATAGGACTGCCTGTGGAACAGTTCCCCTTCATTTCGCTTCCCTTCTCACCTAGATTGTATTGTTAAATGTGTAACTACCAAGTGATTGGCCCTACATTTCTGAACAGGCTTTGGCTTGGTGAGAGAGCCAACAGCAACCAAAGTTAGCACAGTCCATGGGGTATTCAACATTGAACAAGTGTGTGCAGGGGAGGGGATAAATGAAGGGTGGGGAGGCACAGTAAAGTCATTCTGGAAAGTATTTTAGGGATTTTGTTTTGATGTCCTCCTGTTTGCTGTTCAGCCACCACAGCCTGCGAAACTGCATACCAGCAAAGGCATTGCAGAACCTGTCCATGCATCCACCTTGATGCTGACACTTTCAAACTGATTTTGTCGTATTTAGACATTAAAAGAAATATCTGAGAAAGCCTTTAAAAGAGTCCTATCTAGGAATATAGAGAAAAAAGATTTAAATGTAATAGACCTTTAAAGCACATAGTCCTCTCTGTGATATTAGATAGGCTAATGTCACACTAACTAGGGAATGGAGTAAAGGAAAGATATCAGCTTGCCTTGTTAGATTTATATTTCTGATAAAGCATAAAAAGATTTCTTCTGATGATAGTATTTCTCCTATATCAAATTCATGGTCTTATACAATTTCTTGTCAGCAAATGGTTCACAATCTTCTCAGATAACTTAATTTCTCAACTTGACTTAGATAAAATTTCTCCCACTGTAGGCTGGCCACCTGTTAGCACTATCTAATCCAAAGACTGGAATCTTATCTTTGCATCCACTTAATGAGTCATTCAATAGTGATATAATTTTCAAGCGCCTATATATTAATTTATCAGTTTTTATTATCATCAATTATTTAATATATGATTCAACTATTCTGTTAATTATATAATTTTCTCATATTCACTATACCATATCTTGCTCTTGTAAGTGAGAGGATATGCTTCTCTGTATGTTCTTGGTTCTCACTCCAGCTCTCAAAGTCGACATATTTCAGTTTGTAAACTGTTCAGACACAAAGCAAAGAATCAGTGAAATAGCCAGCATGGAAAAGCAGATCAGCCACATAACATGGCTAAAATTGTCTTTAGGGAGAATGGCAAACCCATATTTTTGATCAGGATTCCTTAGAAATCAACTGCATTCACTGTAGAACATTTTGCAGGATTTGGCCATTGCTATCCTTGAGGTAATGCTGATGTGAGTTTGACATTTCACTAGGAAGTTAAGTGTGGCTACATTTGGGCCACCAATGAGTACAGTGTGCTTGGGTGCTTTGCATATACCACTGTTACCTTCTAGAGTGCTGTTTGCCCTTTGCTGTGTGACCAGATTTGGACAGGAGGCCTTCACGGCACAGGCCAAGATACACTCACCATTTGGCTGGGGTATACTGAAGGCAGCAGGCAGATCCCTTTTCAGAACTGTGCTTTCCTGCATATCCTTTCCGTGCTTCAAATCTGTTTTACCTCGTACAAGTGGAATTCCTTGTTTTAAATTGTGTACATCTTCTCTTGTCCTGTAAGTGGGATCTCCTGATGAAAAGATCCTGGATCCATCTTCATCACTGCCTCCCATTAGGTATCTGTATAACTCTGAGACTTCTCTTCTCTGACCAGAGGAGTCTCAGCTTTCTCCATTTCTCCTCATAGAAAAAATTCTCCATTATAAATGTCCCTGAGCATCTGGCACATTGGGATCATTTTCTAGTCCAACCTTCTACAGAGCATTAATACAAACCAAATAAACAGCATTTAGGGCACCTCCATCGTGCACGCTTGATCCAAAGGCAAACTGTGATTGAGTGCATTATGTATTTATATGACTTCCTAATTTGAATTTACCTGCCCGATGCTGCTATCTAAAGAAAAGTTTTCTAATGTCCTTCCTTCTGACCACTGCAGGGTTTAGAGACATTGTGTTCAGAGATATGGCTACAGCCTATGAAGACACATATTTAATCTACTTAGACTGAGTAGAAGCAGCAGGGCACAGCCTGAAACTCAGCCTGTGTATTTAATCAACACCTTGCATGGGCTTTACAAACCATCCGGCACATTTTGCTTCTGCAATGTCTACAGTAGTTAGTTTAAAAACAGGGAGAATGTTTCCTGAATGTACTTTGTACACTTCCACTTACACTGTACTTTGAGTGAGCAGATCAAGACACCTTTAAGTCTCTTTATTCGTTAGCCACCTTCCAACAACTTTCTGTTCAGCTCTCAAAATAAGACCTTTTCTCCAGCTCCCAGATCCATTTCACAGCTCTTTTCTGAAACTTTGCCAGATTTGCTGCTCCATCTTATAACACAGACTGCTCCTGTGGGAATACTTCCTGTGAAACATTGAGCCAAAATTACCTTCTGCCTTTTCCTGTGACCCCCAGACATCTTTCAGCAAGAACAACGCACTGAGAGTTGCACTACCTTATAAATCCATTATGATTCCAGTGCTTTTCCACGTTACTCTCTTGCAGGGGAGCAGCTCTGCTTCCTCTTCGCATACCTTTCTGAGTATTGCCTCCTTTGTTTCTACCTGAGCACTTTCCCCTGTCCACAGTGAAGCAAATTTTGCTTGACTGGATTCAGTTATCAAGTAATTCATATCACTTGGTGTCTCTTTTATCAAACCATCACATTAATTTCTGTTTCAAGGTTGTGTGAGGAGCTGACCTTCAGGGATTTTTCCATTAACCACTAAATGTTTGGTGGATGTTCTGAACCATTCTCAGCCTTGTGGCTTTTTTTTGTAAGGCACCTGCTGGAAATATCCCACCCAGTGAACATTCTCTAAAAAATATCTGCACAAATTCATTCTGACATTGATCAAAATCAACAAGCCACACAGTTTTCAATGGATTTAAGAACAAGCAAACTTGCAAGACTCGGTAGAGTGGAAACTACCATGTTTTATTTTTGTCCTCATGTTACACATTTCATTAAATTTCGACTCTATCATAATAATGTTACCTTTGACAATGATCTTGAAAAAGCACTGAAATCCTCAGAAAACACAAAAATGGAGCTAGATAAATAATGTATTGCTTGATAAAACGCACGTGTATGCACATGTCAAAAATGTTACAAATTACCAAAGAAGACAGGAGTTCAGTCAGGTATTGAGGGACAAAAAAAAAGTTAAATTTCATGGTAATCAGATTAATCTAAACTCTCTGTGCCACTTTTTCAATAAAGTGAATGCTTTGTAAACTCATAAATGTAGATCTGCTATGCCCTCAACATCCTTTGTAGGTCTTAATGTGTTGGAAGATTTAGAATTGCTTTAGAAATAGACTGCAGTTGATACAGATTACACCTGAATGATACAGGGGCAAGCATAAGAGAATAATGACTATGAGCTACTGATGTTACAAATTCAATCTTTGCATTCAACTTGCTGAAGAGAATGTCCAGAGAGCATCAGAAGCATGAAACAACAACAAGAGATAAACTAGAATTTGACAGATAGTAATTTAAAAATTAAGCCTCACTCTAAACAAAAAAAAAGCAAAATCAACCAACCAAACAAAATGCAACCAAAACCAGATACAGCCATTCAACTTTACTTGTAGTAGTTCTAATAAAAGAAGATATCTGTTGTGAGATTATATGCCTTTTACGCTGAAATCTTTTTCTGCAAGGTTTCTACATGCATACGCCTTGAGACAGACTGAAACTTAATCTCTGAAAATCAGCTGAGTTGGGAAAGCTGTATTTCTAAAGAGCTGGCCACCTGCTAGTGACTTCTGCACTGAAACTGAGAATATTGCGCACCATCAGACTTGTGTTTTCATTAGAAATGCGTTCCTTCAGTTCGCTCTGCTTTGCATTATTATTTATCTCCTTTTTTTATGGTGTTTTTTGGAATATCAAAAATCTACTAATGTGAAAGCCTGGTTTCCCTAGGATAAATTTCCTGACCAGTTATGGAGGATGGCTGATGTCTGAAGGTCAACAGAATTAGTGAGTGGATGCTATCTTTTCAATGCAATTGATGAGACCACAACTCAGCAAATTAACACTGTTGACCACATTTGACAGAAAAAAAGGATCAGAGAATAACCATGGGAAGAACCATGAAAACGCTGAAAGTACAGACAAAAGGGGAAATTTTCAGGGTGGTAGTTTTTTTTAGTTTATTAAATAGATAGCGAGAAAGTGACTTTATCTTCTGCACACTCCTTCATTGGTTCTAGAAATTCACTGGAGACACTCTCCCACTTATTCAAGGCATTACAACAAGAACCAATAACTGAAGCCGAAATGAGTGGTTTTAGACCTCAAGTGTGGTGCACATTTTATGAAGAAGGTCATTTACCCCTAAAAACCTCATCAAACGTTATGCAAGATTATCCCTATGTGTTCGGGACTTCTAACCTGAATTTGCTTTATTTTTTTTTTTCCCTTAGAAGTTACTCTCAAGTGTGAACTGTGGATACAGGCAAGGTACCAGAACATTTTATCACAGTGTTTTTTTCTGGCCTTTTTATTGATAGATTTATGAGTTGCTTTCTAAAACAGGCCAGCAAGCTAATCTCACTGAGAGAACTGCTGGCTGCCTCCTTCTCAGCACTGTGCAATGTTCTCCTTAGGCACAGACCCCCACCAGCCTCCCCACAGACAGCTCTGGGAAGTCCTAAACCACAGCCACCTCAGTCAGAAATCGGCAGTGATATCGCTGGGACCAAACCACATCACGCTCTCTTCCTAACCAATGTGCCGTTACCACAGCACTGCCGCACCAGACACAACCGCTGAGCAATCTCCCGTAAGTAGAGAAACATTTTGGGGCACAGCTGCTCAAAGGAGCTCACCACCAACCAGACCATGCTGAGCACCAAATGTCAGGAATGGGTACGCTACATGTTATGGCAGCCCACGAAGCCAGAGACTGGTCCGTGAGGGGTGCCCAGCTGTGCCCCTTACCTGCCTGTCCAGTCTCCTTCATCCTACTATGACTGCAGCCCATCTTCTCACACACCCTCTCCGTCTCCCCCAGGCCTCTCACCTTCTCCAGCAGTGCAGGGCAGACAGCCGTGGGCAGCCTCGACTCCCCCTCCGCTGCCTCTGGGCTGGAACCAGGCTGTGTCGAACAGCCGGAGGGGCTGCCAGGCATTACAGGGCTGAGCGTGACGCTCCGCCCCTTCTTCAGCCTTTGGTCCAGGGGCACACCGCCCGGGGCTGAAGGTGACCTCTTAGTGGGAGGAGAAGAGGGGCACTGGGGAGGAAAGGGGTTATCCATCCGCTCAGCTCATGGACAGGGAGGTGTCATAGGGATGGAGGTGGAGCTGTTGTTTCTGCTCAAGTCAGACCGTCAAAGCCCCTGGGATACTTCAGCAGATCCACCCTATGCAGACCTTCCCTCCAGCTTCAGCTGTCCCTGCAGTTGAATATGGGGCCATGCCAAGTCGCAGTACAGCCCTCACAGCAGGGCTGAGGGCCACTGTGGATGGCCAGCACTTTCTTTTGGTCACCAGAGGGGGAGAAGGCATTTTGGTCGCAGCTGCCTATATCAGTGAGCATCAGAGTCTAGGCACAGACTGTAACTAGTTCAAGGCCATGTCATGGGGCTTATGACACAGGCTCCTCACACGGACCAGTACTACAAAGAGTTACAGAGAAGGTGAAATTATTAATGGTAACTACAATGGCTTGTAGGAGTTCCATCTATGCTCAGTTCTTCCACCTAGATGGTATTTGTGGAACTATAGACCATCCTGAGTTGGAAGGGATCCACGGGAACTTGAATCCAACTCCTGGCTCCACAGCAGGACTGCCCAAACCCTGTGTCTGAGGGTGCTATTTAAACACTTGTTGAACTCCTGCACCTGGGGCCCGTTCCATACCCACCGCCCTCTGGTGCAGACCCTGTCCCTCACCCCCAGCTGCCCCTCCTCTGACGCAGCTCCATGCCGTTCCTATTGCTGTCACACAGAGCAGAGCTCAGCGCTGCCCCTCTGCTCCCTGTGAGGAGCTGCAGCCGCCATCAGGCCTCCCCTCAGCTCCTTAGCTTCTCTGCTCTGGGTTGAACAAACAAGGGACCTCTGCCACTCCTCATACATCTTGCCGTCTAAACAATTCACCAATTCACCATCCTCATAGCCCTCCTTTGGGTGCTCTCTAATAGTTTTAAGTCCTTGTTGTACTGTGGCACCCAACCCACACGCAGTACTGGAGGTGAGGCTGCACAGCACAGAGAGACAACGTCTCCCCTCACCCACTGGCAGTTCTGAGCCTGGTGCACCGCAGGGTACGGTTGGCCTTTTGGTCTGCCAGGGCACACTGCTGCCTCACGTTCAGCTTACTGCCAGCCAGAAACCCCAGATCCCTGTCTGCAGGGCTCATCTCCAACCTTAAAGTTCTCTTTCTTCTACTTGAGCATGGACAAGAAAGAAACTCCTGTGGGTATGGACACCATGCAGGTCATCGATACTGGCTGCAGAGCACTGAGTTTCACACTCTAGGAGATCTATCAGTTTGCGTGTCTGCAGCAGTGATGAACGCAGCTGTGGTTGTGGCACAGGATTGTCACAGTGCTGGCCTCCATGTTCTCTGGAGCTGGGACCATGTAAGGGACCTGAAAGGTTTAAGCTGCCCCAATGAGCCTCCATACCCACTGTGGGGACACAGTGTAGTGAGGAAGGCAGAAAGAGGGCAGAGGTGAAAAATGAAGTCTAACAGAGGACAGGGCTGAATCTTATGTCTGCTTTCTGAAGGGAGGGAAGGACTTGTCAGTACAGGCTCTAGTTGGCCTGTGGGCAGCAAGGTAAGATGCACTGGAATGTCATCACGGACTGGTGAAGAACCAGGCTGCTGTCACCTAGCTCTGATGGTGAAAGAAATCTAAGGGTAAGAGGAGTAGCATAGCCAGACTCCCAGCTGTCATCATGCTTCTGGATAAGAAGTGGGAAATGATGCATGGCCTAAAGGTCTTGTGCCACTCAAGGCTGCCCCTTCTCACTCAGGCTTGGAGGATGGTATAGTCATTGGAGAAGGCCTTCAATATTCCTACAGCCAGGAACATTACTATTGGGCTGGTGGAAATATATAAGAGAAAATTATTCAATGTCCGAAGATTCAGCTCTGGAATAAATATGATAGTGAAACCACAGTTCCACAGGAACAAGGAATCTATCTATATGGGGAACAGAATAAGACCATTGCCTCCAATTGAGATACAAGTCAGAAGTCAAACTGAAAAGTGTCTCTGAGGATTTGATTAAAGACAGAGTTACAAGGAAAAACTGAAAAAGGGACTCATCTGCACAGTCCTCAGGAAAAAAAAAAAAAAAAAAAAAAAAATGAAAGGCAAAACAATGAAGGTGAATGGAAGAGGAAATATGAAGAAGGAAAGATTTACAAGTGGGTATTAATGGCTCTGCTGTTCAGATGGTTTAATATTTTCTACTGCAAAAACTCCTTTACAATGTGTTTGTGCTTTGTGACGCACACAAATACCATGGTTGATCAATGTTGTCTGAAAACATTACAAAAATGTCTCCTTTGCCTCTGAATTGTTGTTGGGTTTACCAGCATGGTAAATATTCTTTCCGTTGTATGTGTGGCTCAGAAGGGGCAGCATGCAGAAAAACAATGGAATATGAACATTCCCAAAAGCCAGATATGGCAGCTAGAGTCACAAAGATGTTGTAGTGACTTCTTCTGACTTCTTCCTTGTTCCTCTTCACTGGCATATACACTGCAGCCCCTTTCACCTTCATCGGAATAGCAGCAGAACTTCAAAGTACACGCTGTACGCAACTTCAAAGCCTCAGGATTGAATTCCTATCAGTGAGTGCTCAGACAACATCACTGCCCCTTCACAGATAACTCCACAAGCTTCAGCAAGTATGAAAAGAGCTACTGAGGGAATTGGCTGCTCCAACACATCACCAACAGGATACTCAGTTTCTCTGGTATTGGCCCTAGTGTGAATGCTCTCTTTGCATTAGGTAGTGGGGTGTGTACTCTCATTTCAGAGTTACCTGACCCCATATGGCTCTTCAGTTCCCCTTCCATACTATCAAAGCCACCAAGAGCACATAGTGTGACAAGATTTGGTGAGCATTTGAATCCAAGGCAGCACTCTTTGGCAACACACAAGTATAAAGGCTTATCAGCAGGGCCACATGAGAGAGAAGACTGATACATATGAACATCAAGCTCCTTTTACCAGGACTGCTCTCTTTATTTTGAAGTTTATGGCAATACCCATATTATCTATAGATGTTCAAACTGACAATAAACCTTTTCACAGAACATCACTGATGACAGTTTTCAGAGCAACCAGCATGCAGTTTTCTCACATCTTTTCAGAACCAGCTTAGCACCTGATGCTGGAGTGTAAATAGCTCTTTGATTTTTCCCATTGCCTTCCTACATCTTCTTCTATTAATAAATTTATGAGCTTCCAACTCTTCCACTCCTCCAGCCCCAGTAGGCAGGCAAGGGGGTTACAAGGAGCAGGCTGCCTCGTGAACACAGAGCTGGGGCCCTGAGCTCTCCTCGGCACACGCAGGGTGCCCAAAATCATCCACCAGCTGCACAGACCATTTGTGCTATGAGGTCATTCAGCGCTACCCCATCGCTGAGGAATCTGCTGGCCACCTTCCTGACAGCGCAGCAAAATGTCCCACCTCGCCTGCCAGCTAGCACAACAGGCTCTCACTGAGCTCGGGCCCCACTCTCCACAGGTGCTTCTCAATCATGCTCTCCAGCATCCATAGCCTCTGGTTACCCATTGACCACCATGTCCGCCTACCAGCACCCTGCCCTGTTCCATTCCAGCCTCCTCTCTTCGAGCTGTTCTTTTCACCACTGCCAGCATGGTGAAGATGCCATCAGAGCAGGATGAGTTGGCTGGGTACAGACAACTTAGAGACATCCTTGAGAGGGAAAGATTATGGGGAGTCTTCGCAGGAGAAAAGACTGGACTTGCAGAGGAGTAGGACTTGAATGGTGGTATAGAAATGCTGCGCTTTGATGGGAAATCTTTCTTCTCTCTGAGCATGGAGAGGGAGCCATCTAGTCCTTAAATAAGAGGGAGCCAGGAGATGAGAGAGATAACAAGGCTGGTAGTACAGGGGCTTGGCAAACAGGGCCTGTCCAACAACAGTGTCCATGCAAGATGAGCAGGGCAGACACAATGATTGGAACCAGGTTCAGCAGAGAGACCAAGTCATCAGGAAAGACTGTAGTGACAAGCAAGTCCAAGGTCTAGCTGAAAAGTTGATCCATAGGCCAGAGTCAGTCTCCATGCTGCTAACCAGTGTTAGACACAGTTCAGGACTGCCAGGCAGGCAGTCCATGTGTCAGAAGGGAGGGAGATAGTCCCAGTGGAGTGTCAGCAACAAACGCTTACTTTCTGACAGGTCTGGGTAGCTGAGGGGCTGGGAGCACTCATGGCCACACAGATGGGACACGCTGGTTAGCTAGGCTCTGCTGCTGGCTGACAGCAAGCTGTCCAGGGAGGTGGTAAAGTCACCATCCCTGGAAGCGTTCAAGAAACATGTAGATGTCATTCTTAGGGACATGGTTTTAAGGGCAATATTGGTGGTAATAGGACTAGATGATCTTAGAGGTCTTCTCCAACCTCAATGATTCTATGATTCTATGATGATGGTGTGGGGAGGTCCCTTCTGAAGCCAACTGGTGCTTCCCATTGTCCGCTCTAGGCCCACTTTATTTTCCTCCAAATTCCTCTGAAAGACACCCAGTGACACAGGCTTCCAACTGCCTGTAACAGTGCCTCCTCTGGAGAAGAGATGGCAGGTGAGGGAAGAGGTAGTAGATATAATAAATAGGTATTATAAAAACCGAATGGAATAAAAGAGATAAAAATAAATTAATGCTCACTATCTTTTTGAAAGATAAGATATCAGAACAAGAGAAGGTGAAAAAAAAGTACAAAGCTTCTTCACACAGTGTGCCTTCATCCTTTGGATACCTTGCCTCAGCGGAGTCTGAGTAAAAAGCATTTATGTGGTTTCATAAAATAACTGGACAGGGAAACTGCAGAGGAAGAACACAATTAAATGCAAAGATTCGACATCTGTCTCTCAGGCTGCTCGAAGCTAAAAGAATATTTGAAGGGATTGACCTCATACTTCCGTGCTCTTGTATCTTCCACAAGGAATTTGCCACTGGAAAGTCTCACAGCCAGGAAATTCAGTTAAGTGGTCTTTTATTCTGATCTGGCTCAGCTGTCCTCATTCATTCTCCTAAAGAAATTCTGTGGTGACA